CCCCGGTTCTAAGCTGTAAAGCATGCCGCACTGAACGAGGGAGTAATCATCAGTACGTGTCTGCCAAGCGTTCATAATGTCTTGGTTTTGTGGGACGGGTGCGTCACCTAGCGGTGCTTCTAGGACATAATCTTTCTTGGCAGCTATGAGGATGATCCTTAGGTTCCGGACCCAGTCCGTATAGTTGCTGCCATCGTCTTTCAGCTTGGTTTTCTCTAGGAACGCGTTGAAGTTGAGGACAACGTGGGCCATTTGATCTACAAGACATATTGTAAAGATTTTAGACTAAGTTCATGATAATTAAGTTCATCTAATCAAATTATTAAATGAACTCCCACTCAGATAGACATCCCTCCAGTCATCTAAGTATAACATGATCCGAGTTAACTAGGCCGTGTCCGATCATCACGTGAGACGGACTAGTCAACATCGGTGAACATCTTCATGTTGATCGTATCTTCTATACGACTCATGCTCGACATTTCGGTCTTCTGTGTTCCGAGGCCATGTTTGTACATGCTAGGCTCGTCAAGTCAACCTAAGTGTATTGCGTGTGTAAATCTGTTTACACTTGTTGTATTCGAACGTTAGAATCTATCACACCCGATCATCATGTAGTGCTTCGAAACAACAAACCTTCGCAACGGTGCACAGTTAGGGGGGACACTTTCTTGAAATTATTACGAGGGATCATCTTATTTAAGCTACCGTCGTTCTAAGCAAATAAGATGTAAAACATGATAAACATCACATGCAATCAAATAGTGACATGATATGGCCAATATAATTTGCTCCTTTGATCTCCATCTTCGGGGCTCCATGATCATCGTTGTCATCGGCATGACACCATGATCTCCATCATCGTGTCTTCTTGAAGTTGTCTCGTCATCTATTACTTCTACTACTATGGCTAACGCTTTAGCAATAAAGTAAAGTAATTACATGACGTTTATGTTGACACACAGGTCATAAATAAATAAAGACAACTCCTATGGCTCCTGCCGGTTGTCATACTCATCAACATGCAAGTCGTGATTCCTATTACAAGAACATGATCAATCTCATACATCACATATATCATTCATCATTCATCACAACCTTTGGCCATATCACATCACAAAACACTTGCTGCAAAAACAAGTTAGACGTCCTCTAATTGTTGTTGCAAGTTTTTACGTGGCTGCTATAGGTTTCTAGCAAGAACGTTTCTTACCTACGCCAAAACCACAACGTGAATTGCCAATTTCTATTTACCCTTCATAAGGACCCTGTTCATCGAATCCGATCCGACTAAAGTGGGAGAGACAGACACCCGCCAGTCACCTTATGCAACTAGTGCATGTCAGTCGGTGGAACCGGTCTCACGTAAGCGTACGTGTAAGGTTGGTCCGAGCCGCTTCATCCCACGATGCCGCCGAATCAATATAAGACTAGTAACGGCAATCAAATTGACAATATCGATGCCCACAACTACTTTGTGTTCTACTCGTGCATAGTAACTACGCATAGACCTAACTCATGATGCCACTGTTGGGGATCGTAGCAGAAATTAAAAAATTTCTACGATCACCAAGATCAATCTATGGAGTATTCTAGCAACGAGGGGAATAGGAGTGCATCTACATACCTTGTAGATTGCGAGCGGAAGCGTTCAAGTGAACGGGGATGATGGAGTCGTACTCGCCGTGATCGAAATCACCGATGACCAAGTGCCGAACGGACAGCACCTCCGCGTTCAACACACGTACGGTTGGGAAGACGTCTCCTCCTTCTTGATCCAGCAAGGGGGAAGGAGAGGTTGATGAAGATCCAGCAGCACGACGGCGTGGTGGTGGATGCAGCAGGATCCCGGCAGGGCTTCGCCAAGCACAAGCGGGGAGGAGAGGTGTTACAAAGGGAGAGGGAGGCGCCAAGAGCAAAGGTGCGGCTGCCCTCCCTCCCTTCCACTATATATAGGGGCTAGGGGGGCGCATGCCCCCTTGGAGATCCCATCTAAAGGGGGGGGGCCTGGGGGCAACGACCCCCTTAGGGTTTCCAACCAGGGGGGCGCATGCCCCCTCGGGGGGGCAACGACCCCCTAGGGTTTCCAACCCTAGGCGCCTTGGGCCCTTGGGTGGGGCGCACCAGCCCATCAGGGGCTGGTTCCCACGCCACTTTAGCCCATGGGGCCCTCCGGGATAGGTGGCCCCATCCGGTGGACCCCCGGGACCCTTCCGGTGGTCCCGGTACAATACCGGTAACCCCCGAAACCTTTCCGCTGGCCGAAACTGGACTTCCTATATATAAATCTTTACCTCTGGACCATTCCGGAACTCCTCGTGACGTCCGGGATCTCATCCGGGACTCCGAACAACTTTCGGGTTACTGCATACTAATATCTCTACAACCCTAGCGTCACCGAACCTTAAGTGTGTAGACCCTACGGGTTCGGGAGACACGCAGACATGACCGAGACGCCTCTCCGGTCAATAACCAACAGTGGGATCTGGATACCCATGTTGGCTCCCACATGCTCCTCGATGATCTCATCGGATGAACCACGATGTCGAGGACTTAATCAATCCCGTATTCAATTCCCTTTGTCAATCGGTACGTTACTTGCCCGAGACTCGATCGTCGGTATCCCAATACCTTGTTCAATCTCGTTACCGGCAAGTCACTTTACTCGTACGAAATTGCTCCACACACGATGTTCTCTGGGCGATCTGTGCACGACAAAGTAATCCAGCGGCCGTTGCTTCGTTGCGGAGCAGATTCCTACGCTGGATTTAACCGTCGTCTGCAAATCGTCTGATATTGTCGTCCGCATAGCATTGCTCTTACTCGTACCGTAATGCATGATCCCGTGACCAACCCCTTGGTCACATTGAGCTCATTATGATGATGCATTACCGAGTGGGCCCAAAGATACCTCTCCGTCATACGGAGTGACAAATCCCAGTCTCGATTCGTGCCAACCCAACAGACACTTTTGGAGATACCTGTAATGTACCTTTATAGTCACCCAGTTACGTTGTGACGTTTGGCACACCCAAGGCACTCCTACAGTATCCGGGAGTTGCACAATCTCATGGTCTAAAGAAATGATACTTGACATTCAGAAAAGCTACAGCAAACGAACTACACGATCTTTGAGCTAAGCTTAGGATTGGGCCTTGTCCATCACATCATTCTCCTAATGATGTGATCCCGTTATCAATGACATTTAATGTCCATAGTCAGGAAACCATGACTATCCTTTGATCAACGAGCTAGTCAACTAAAGGCTCACTAGAGACGTGTTGTGGTCTATGTATTCACACATGTATTACGATTTCTGGATAATACAATTATAGCATGAATAATAGACAATTATCATGAGCAAGGAAATATAATAATCATTTTATTATTGCCTCTAGGGCATATTTCCAACACATACATATTCTTGCGGTTTAACATCAATATTGTCCGACAAATACCTTACATCCATCATATTCTATATTTTGGTAAGATTTAATTTGATTTGAGTATGGATAGCGAAAGACAAGCCAAAATTTGATTAGTTGAGATTCTGATAAGATTCGATTTGATTTGGGTATGGATATGGAAAGGCAAGAAAACTTATGATTTTGTTGAGATCTGATTTGATTTTATCGAGTTAATGTAGGACATGGTTTTTAGAAAAGTTATTCTATTTATGTTGCTTTAATTCTGTGTGCATTGGTTGAGACTAAAAAAGCAACAGAAAATCAAAGAGGCAGAGGAGGGTGTGAGGAGGAAAAACCTAAGGGAGGAGGTGAGGCGAAACTACCAACACCCTTTTAATAGTAGAGATTGTGTATTGATAAAGAAACATGTACGAAACTTATAGATATGATCTTTATACTGGTGGTCACACTTCAGGCTTAGTAGAATGATGGTCTTTCAAGGGTACATAGATAAGCAGACGCCCAAGGATGCATGGAGTGGTATCATCCTCGTCAGTGGGCACCATGAACACATCCAAATGATGTAGTCTTCAATGAGCCCCCCCCCCTCGGTGCTCCTTGCGCAAGTATAGCATTGCAACACCTCGATGATGAGGGGATCAACTAGAGCACCACGTCTCTTTTTAGGAATATGTGTTTTGCTTCTTCTTTACTTTAGATAGACAGGTCGAGCGGCAGCGAGTAGTCTGCATGACAAACGAGTGGGCCTCTAGCCTCTAATCTAGAAAGGTGTTAGGTGGGGAGAATATTATTTCATCTTTAAAGAACCGCCACCATCGTCTCGTCTATCTAAGCAGTACACAAACTTTAAAAATAAATCCCACTCATTGACAAGGGCCGAAATGTAGCACGCCTCCGTAGCCCTAAAAGGACACGAGACGAGGTGAGCAAACTACGGCACCGACCGGGAGGCACGAGTAACCCCAAGCGGCCAAGGGGTACGACCCCTACGTAAAATTATGGCGAGACAACTACAGTGATGCTGATATATTTTACTCGATATGGAAAGACAAACTTGGGATCCTGAGGCAATATTAAGTCGCAAGAAATGGTCGCTATCTACGGTCATAAACATTGTTCTCCAAGAAACAAACAACGAGAACAACGGTCCCACCCACGCGACCTGCAGCGGAAGAGAATGAGAAAGGAGTCAAAACTTGTTCGAAAAGTCAATGATTTTGCCCCCGCTCTTTCTTTCCGCCCGGTCCGGGTCGGCCCGCTCCGGTGTCCGGCCCATCGCAGTAGAAAAAACAGGCAGCGGCCGTCAAAACCCGCGTGTCGCTGTACCACCTCTTCGGCCCACCGGAAGCCAGATGCCGCCTCCTGGCTCGAGGTCGCGGGGTTAATAAAAAGACAGGAAAGGAGGGGAGGAGGAGGAGCATCCCGCACCGCATCGCACTAGGTCTCGAACATTCCTCTTTCTCTCCCTTGCTTGGGGAAGAAGAAGAAGAAGAAGAAGAAGAGAGGGCGAGCGCCCCCGCCTCCCGACGCCGTCGCCCCTCGCCGCCGATCTGATCTCAGGAGCCAGCGAAGATGCATTCCACCAATCTGCTCCTCGAGGAGCCCATCCGGATGGTCTCCATCCTCGAGCCATCCAAGCCGGTAAGCGTCCATCCCCGCCCCACGCTCTCTCCGTCGGATTTGATGATCTGCGTGGGGATCAAACCCTAATTGCGGCCGCTCGACTCTCCTGATCGGCGTTGGATCAAACCTTAATGATGTTTTATTTGTAAATCAGAACTTCTTCCCGGCGATGACGAAGATTGTGGGGACGCTGGGTCCGAAGTCCCGGTCCGTTGAGGCCATCTCCGCCTGTCTAAAGGCCGGCATGTCTGGTTCGTATAATCGTATCTTCTTCCGCGACAGCGGAGTGTCTTTCTCTCTTAATTAATTGTTTTTCTCTTTTCTAAATCTAACATTGATTTTCTGTGTTTTCTTTTCTTGCAGTGGCCCGTTTCGATTTCTCGTGGGGGGATGCCGCGTACCACCAGGAGACACTCGAGAACCTCAAGCTCGCCATCAAGGCCACCAAGAAGCTATGTGCTGTAAGTGCTGTCACAACCAACGCTGATTTGTGGCCATAAGTCGTGATGAAATCAACTTTGCATACACACACCCAAACATGCCACTCAGAGTGGATCTGATGTTAGCTAGGTGAAATATGTTCTGTGGAGCTTGACGATTGGGTATTTTTTTGGACAGGTTATGCTCGACACTGTTGGCCCTGAGTTGCAAGTGGTGAACAAGAGTGAAGTCACAATCTCGCTTGAAGAGAACGAGTCTGTTGTTCTCACCCCTCACCAGGGCCAGGAGGCCTCTTCCAAGTTGCTCCCTATCAACTTCGCTGGACTCGCCAAGGTAACCCTCTTCTATCATCTCGCCGAATCTTGAGCTGTCTGTATTTAATTGTATGCGACGGTAGCTGTAAGCAGATCCACAGTTGTTTGTCTGTTTTATAATGTTTGTCATTTGTTGTCGCATTAAGATGTCCACTTGTATCTCCGCATGGATAAAATCAGAGCTATCATTTGTTCTTTGCAGGCTGTGAAGCCCGGAGCCACAATATTCGTTGGGCAATATTTGTTCACGGGCAGTGAGACTACATCAGTTTGGCTGGAGGTAGAAATCTTTGACATGCTACAATTAAGCGTTTTGTCATATTTGATGTGTTATATGCATGTTGCATGATCTTTCTTAGTGCTTCCTGATACCAAAACTCTCAACTGCCTGATGTAGGTTTCTGAAGTTCAAGGGGATGACGTGGTTTGCGTGATCAAGAACTCAGCTACCCTGGCTGGGTCACTCTTCACATTGCACTGCTCCCAGATCCATATCGACATGCCCACGCTGTCTGATGAGGATAAAGATGTAAGGAACTCCTCCCAAGAATATCTCTCGCTCCTTGTATTCTCTCCTTTATTAGAACTTGGCGACTAGACTTTAGATGTTTTTTTTCTTTAAACTGGAACTCCTTGCTGTAATCCATTATATAACTTTATGAGTATGCACCACTTCCAGGTTATGAAAAAATGGGGTGCTCCAAACAAGATTGACTTCCTCTCTCTTTCTTATACAAGGCATGCAGAAGATGTGCGGCAAGTAAGTAACTCATTGCGTGGATATTTAGAGTGTACTACTTCACAGTGCCATCTTTCCCAACAGATTGATTTTTTTTTGTATTTATATTTTGTTGAATAGTATCACATGTTTGTTTGCATTTCATACTTTGGAAAAATGTTCCTAACATTGATGGTATTTTTCCTGCAATACAGGCACGGGAGTTCCTCTCTAAGTTAGGTGATCTTAGCCAAACTCTGATTTTTGCCAAAATTGAGAATGTGGAGGTAATTTCAAGATATCCTTTCAACATTCCTGAGCAACTTTGATTTGGTTACTACATATTCACTCCTTACAATAGTCATTTAACATTCCCGAGCAACTTCGATATGATTACCACCTATTGACTCCTTATTCCTTGCAGGGCTTGAACCATTTTGATGAGATCCTGGAGGAAGCGGATGGTATCATTCTGTCAAGAGGGAACCTTGGAATTGATCTTCCACCTGAAAAGGTTGGCTATCTCAACCTTCACAATGCATTATCTCTTAACTTGTTGTTTTAGGTAGCGAAAAATTAGAGACAATCACCCCAATGCATTGTTTCTCAAGGGTCATATCTAAATGATATTGCATTTAATTAGTTTATGAATCTTTTTTACATCTCAACATTGTGGCCTAGTTGTGGAGAAAAGGAAAGAAGAGGCAAATAGGGCGATAAGCCACAAAGGATCAGACCATTAGTTACACTGCACAGGAAAACGAGCTAAGAGCTGTATCTATATCAACATACAGCTCCACTCTCGTTCTTTTTTAATTACAGAGCCAAGTATTGTGAATGCCCTTGGCAGTTGTGAAGGCCTTTTGCTTGATTAACATGTATTTTTCCCATTTGCATGACGCTTAGTGATGATTTTGTGTGCTTCAGTTAGATTTGCTTTAAAAAAATCAAGGGTCTCTATTGAGTACTACTTTGTTTGTTCTTTAGGTGTTCTTATTTCAGAAGTCTGCTCTGCACAAGTGCAACATGGCTGGAAAGCCTGCTGTTGTTACTCGTGTTGTGGACAGTATGACGGACAACCTAAGGCCTACTCGTGCGGAGGCAACTGATGTGGCAAATGCGGTGCTGGACGGTTAGTTTTTGCCTCTTGCAGATATCTTATACTTTGGTGATCCTGTACAGCTGCTCATTACTGCACCCAAACAAACTATAATTACACAAGCTGTAACATGAATAACAATCGTTTTGTTCAGGTAGTGATGCCATTCTCCTTGGTGCTGAGACTCTCCGTGGGTTGTATCCAGTCGAGACTATTTCAACAGTGGGCAGAATTTGTGCTGAGGTGACTTTCTTTGGAGTTCTATGTTCTCTTGATAAACACGGCCTGTTTGGGAGGGCATTTGTTGATAAGTTCCTTTCTATAGTTCAAATCTGACTTCAATAGTAAATGTTGCAAATAAATACTTTCTTCCGAACAGCCCCTAAATGCGCTCTCAACAAGTATATCTTTGGTACTCTAATGGAAATTCACTGCTTCCTGCCTTCTCTCTTCATATTTGGTGATATATTTTCATGAATTGTTTCACAGGCTGAGAAGGTCTTCAACCAAGATTTGTATTTCAAGCGAACCGTGAAATATGTGGGAGAACCCATGACCCACTTGGAGTCTATTGCTTCCTCTGCAGTGCGTATTTTGTTTCTTTTCATTTTCCAACCTTTTTTAGTGTTAGGGGAACAATTTCTGTCTTCCATTGATTTAATATCAGTCTGTGACACTTGGGTTTATAAGTCTGAAATAATTTGCTACGTATTTGCTAGGTGCGGGCTGCTATTAAAGTTAAGGCTTCGGTCATCATTTGCTTCACTTCATCTGGACGGGCTGCAAGGTAGAAAGATAAGAGTATTTCTTCTTAACAGGCTTCTAGTTTAATGGCAGTTGATTCATATATTATGTCGTATCTGGTATCTGCAGGCTAATTGCCAAGTACAGGCCCACCATGCCTGTCCTGTCCGTTGTCATTCCTCGTCTGAAAACAAATCAATTGAAGTGGAGCTTCACAGGTGCATTTGAGGTATGTTTACAGCCTTTTTCCTTGTAACCTTTTTGCTACCTTCTTCTGTATGTGCTATATCTAGGTAATGATTCAGAACTAGCATGCTGTTCTTCAACCTTAGAAAGATAACTTTAGGCTATAGTTTTTGTTAATGACAAATCTAACATTGAACCTTGCGCAATTGTGCAACTCAATACAGAGGAACTATATATAAGTATTTGCCATGTAATGCTAGAAAAGGGCACTTCGTTTCTAGATCCTTATTTTCTCTTGGCAGAAGATTGCTGTGTGTATTGGTCCTTTATTTTTACATGGTGCATAATTTCTACTACCTCCGTTTCAGTTTATGTATTTCTAGATCATCTGTTTGACCAATGAAATATGTATTATGCTGAAGTATACAATCAAAAATTGTATTTGAAACAGGCTTTGTCATGGTCAAATCGATTATCTGAAAATACTTTTGTGCCTAACAGAACGAAAAATTGGGAGTATAACTAGACTGCTAATTAACATGTTCTGTAGAATTTTCCCTAATGAGGAACAGCATGTTCAGCTAGACTCACTAATTAACATGTATACTACCATATAATTTTCTCTGATAAGAAACAGTAAACCTCTGTGTTTGGCTCATATTTGTTGCATTATCTTCCTGCAGGCAAGACAATCACTCATAGTTAGAGGCCTCTTTCCCATGCTTGCTGATCCACGTCATCCGGTGAGTTAACCTGCCTTTGTTGGATACATTAATATAAGCATATATTTTGCAAACCATTCTTTGGTTGTTCTTCTCAATTTTTTATAATAATATGAAAATAGGAACTACCTATGAATATGAACGCGCCCTTGTTCTGGACGTAAAAGGGAATGGACGTAAAAGGGAACATAATGTCAGTTGGCGTTGGTGCATATTCCAAATATTTGAAAACTGAATGCTTTACATACACTAGGCCAGTTAACTTATTAATCCTTACTCTTAACAAATTAGCTATTACGGTAACGCTAGACTGCAGTTCACTTTCGAACTTGACTGGTGGTATGCTGGTTTGTTGACTCTTCTGTACTGTAAACGCAATACGTGAGCTTATAAGCTGGTGTGCACCAGTGATGCTGATGTTTGGAGGTCTTTCATCTTGCATCCACCTTGAATTATTTGGTAGCTAGAATTCCTTGATTTGGACCCAACTAGGAACATGCTCGGTCTGGCTGGTGATTTGTACTGACATTGTTTCTCTGCCCTGCAGGCTGAATCTACTAGCACTACAAATGAATCAGTGTTGAAGGTTGCTCTTGACCACGGCAAAGCATCTGGTGTGATCAAGTCGCATGACCGTGTCGTCGTGTGCCAGAAAGTGGGAGATTCCTCTGTCGTGAAGATCATTGAGCTAGACGACTAGGCAAAATTAGCCTTTGCTCAGGGCTTGCCAGATTTTTGACTAGGCCAAAACGTTGCTTGGTGGCTATGTATAATTCTATCTATAGTTTTGCAAAACGAGCAGTTTTTCCTATGGTGTCATCATAGGATCCGCGGTTATCATTCTGAAACCTACGCTAGTTATTATGGATATGTCCTCAGATTTTACTGCAGTGTAGCGAGTAAATGATCTGATGGAATAATGATATCAAAACTTTGTGACCCTTATTGTTGTCGCTAAGCCTATGTTCCCATTTACAGATTTGGGTGTGATCCTGAGGTTTTAGGATGTTCTTATCATCTTATGACTGTCAGTTGGAGAATTCTGGTATATTTTTCTTTGCGGATTGGTATATAGAGACTAAAAAAAATAGTTCTTTATTTCTTTTTGCCGCCAGGAAGTTTTCCTTTCTGGCGATGTTTATTCATGACAATGTCAATTGAGTTTGACTAGCAGATATGCCGTTGCAACGGGAGATAAAATACTATGCATTTAAAGTCAGCAAGAATTATATGTGCAAGCAAAACCCTGTGCACATGAAAAAACATTTAGTTTCTCGGTTTTGCTGTGTGTGAAGAAATCAATTTGCTATTTTTTCGTTAATTGATCGAGGACATTTAAGAGTTTTGTTACGTCATTGTAGGCCAGACAAAGGCTCATGAGTTATTCAATCTACTTTTCCTTTCAATCGAGAGAATTTGAAGGTACGAAGTTTCTGAATATTCTAGGGAACATGAACACTTTTTTAAATCTTGAACAGTTTTTTAAAATTATGTATACTTCCAAAAAACATGAACAAAATATGAAAAATAACATTTTTTAAAATTCACAAACATTTTATGAATACACTAACATTTTTTATAAAAAACATGAACATTATTTCAATTTGTGAACCTTTTTTAAAATGGGAACATGTGTTGAAAATTCATAAGATTTTTAGAAAACGTGTATCTTTTATACATGATTATTATTTTTAATTTTGAAAATTTCACTAAAACATGAATAATTTTCAAATTTGTAGCACTTTTTGATATGCAATTTTATTTTCTATAAATCTCTAATAATTCTGAAAAGAAATAAAAGATTAAAACATGAGCAACTTTTTGTCAAGTTCCGACTATTTTTAAAAATAGCAAAAAAATGGAATTCTGAACATTTTTCCAAAAAAATACTAAATGTTTTTTGAGAATTTTTAATTTACGAAAAAAATTTCGAAAAAAATCACCTTGAAAAGGAAAAAAGAGTTAGGGAAAGGAGGATAAAAATAGAAGTAAAACACATAAAAAAAATGGGGCAACCCATTATTGGTTGTCCTGTGCGAAACTATCTCTATTTCTCGACCTGTGCGGAAAATAGAATTTCCTAATTGCGTGGACAAAAAATTAAGTGGGCTGGCTTCACTGGACAACAGCGGGCGGCCCACGTAGGAAAATTCTTTTTCTAGCGGACAAGCGCATAAGAATTTAGTACCACCTTCGTGTAGAAAAAAATTCTTTACGATGGTGAAGGGATGAAAAAATTGAAAAAATGCACCTTGCTTTATTAGTAGGTATATATATCTATATCTATATCTATATCTATAGCTACTATTAAGGGGAGGTGATATTCTTGGTTTCGTCTTACTTCGTTTGGTCCCGCTTCAATTAATTTCACATACGCTATTTTGTTTTGGCCCAATGGAGGAAGCCCACCTGGCGGCGCACTATGGCCCAGGTCCGGAGAGTTGGCAAAAAATAAAACTACCCATGGGAGAGTTCGATTTCATAACCTATCAACCGGCCACGCACCCAGCTAGCGATATGAGAGGATTTTCTTCCTCCGTTGCAACGCACGGGCCTTTTTGCTAGTATAGCAATACAAAATTAAAACATGGGCAACTTTTTTGCAAGTTCCGACTATGTTTAAAAATAGCAAAAAAGATTGGAATTCTGAATATTTTACAATTTTTTTAATACTGAATGTTTTTTGAGAATTTTTAATTTATGAAATAAATTCTAAAAAAATCAACTTGGAAGAGAAAAAAGAGACAGGGAAAGGAGGATAAAAATAGAAGTAAAACACATAAAAATAATAAAAAATGGGCCAGCCATTATTGATTGTCCTGTGCGAAACTATCACTGTTTCTCGACCTGTGCGGAAAATAGAATTTCCTAGTTGCGTGGGCGAAAAATTAGCTGGGCTGGCTTCACTGGGCCACAGCGCGCGGCCCATGTATGAAAATTCTTTTTCTAGCGGACAAGCGCATAAGAATTTAGTACCATCTCGGGTAGAAAAAAAATCTTTCCGGTGGTGAACGGATGAAAAAATTCGAGAAACGCACCTTGCTTTATTAGTAGGTATAGATATATATATTTTTTTTCCGTTCTGGTGGCGACGTTTATTCATGAAAATGTCAGTTGAGTTTGAATTTGGCTTTGGCAACTCTTTAACAATGTGCACTTGACTGAGCTTTTCCCATTCTATTCGCACCTGAGTTGCAAACTTGACGGTAAATTTGACTACGGGGCAATATCAAGCTCCAGCTTAAGACAGCTTACGTAAGATTTTTTATCATGGCAAAATCTTCTTTTGTGTCAAATTATTTTTTATCATGGAAAAATCTAAACATCTTTTGTGTCAAATTATGTTCTCTAAGGGGCGAGCATGGCAAATCCATCTCGTTCATTTTTATGAAAAACATCAAATTTTTATACCTAAAAATCTGATGTTAATCTTTTTTAGTGCTTCTGATTTTTTTTTGCTCCCAGCCTTTATTATACACGGCACGTGATCTTCAAGCAACAAGATGATAGTTCATCCCGATTTTTCTCATCTTGTGAAGATCATTGAGCTGGATGACTAGGCAAAATTTGACTAGGCCAAAACGTTGCTTGGTGGCTATGTATAATTCTATATATAGTTTTGCAAAACGAGCTGTTTTTTCTATGGTGTCATCATAGGATCCATGGTTACCATTCTGAAACCTAAGCTAGTTATTATGGATATGTCCTCAGATTTTACTGCAGTGTAGCAAGTAAATGATCTGATGGAATAATGATATCAAAACTTTGTGACACTTGCTATTGTTGTTGCTAAGCCTATGTTATCATCTTATGACTGTTTTTTTTGCATATCGTTACATAGAGACTAAATAGTTCTTTATTTCAGGAATTTTTCCTTTCTAGTGGTGACGTTTATTCATGACAATTGTCACTTCAGTTTGAATTTTGACAATGTCAATTGAGTTTGATTTTTTCTGTTCTGGTGGCGACGCTTATTCATGACAATGTCAATTGAGTTTGAATTTGGCTTTGGCAACTCTTAACAATGTGCACTTGACTGAGCTTTTACCATTCTATTCTCACCTGAGTTGCAAACTTGACGTTGTAAATTTGACTTAGGGGCAGTATCAACCTCCAGCCCAAGATAACTTACGTCAGACTTTTTATCATGGCAAATCTAAACGTCTTATGTTCTATGTTCTCCGAGGGCGAGCATGGTGAATCCGTCTCGTTCATATTGTTCATTTTTTTATATAAACTGTTATGAAAAACATCAAATTTGTCATACCTAAAAATCTGATGTTAATTCTTTCAGTGTTTCTGATTTTTTGCTCCCAGCCTTTATGATACAGGGCAGCTGATCTTCATGAATTAGACATGAATTTAAGGATGAACACAGAGAACAGAATAAAATCATAAGGAAACATAAGAAACACTCAAATACAAGGTCCACTATCAAATCTATCAACAAACAAGGGAAATAAAGCAACAAGATGATAGTTCATCCCGGTTTTTCTCATCTTGTGGTGCAAGACGTGGCATGGCTCAGTGTGGTTGGCCGGCTCGCTCCAAGCCTTGGACACCACTCTCATAAACCCAGCCATCTTGCACCAAAAAATTTCAAAGTGAAACTACCTAGGGCGCAATGGACCATTGCAGCTTGCAAGGAGTAGGGGGCAGTGGTCTAACAAAGACAAGGAGATGGCTTGGTGAATGTGTACATGGAAAGCAATGGAATAGTAGATTCTTCTCTACCAAACAGCTCCAATTTCACACGGCCATTGAAGTAATCCTTCGCCTTGACACCACCCAAGGTCGAAGACCTCTCAGCCTAGAGGAGTGAGACCTTCACTCTCGTCTTTAGAAGAGACTTGTTGGCTTTGCCATCATGGAGAGGGCTAGGAAGAGACAGTGCTCAGGGAATTCTTACCTAAGGGAGGGCGACGTTAATACCCGCTACTTCCATCTTCGCGCCAACGGTTGTCATCGACAAAACTTCATCCGACGCCTCTCCCATCATGGAGGGTGGGTGAGCACATATGAGGATAAGGAGAGTGTGTGGTCCATGATCACTTCTCGGCAATGTTTATGAGGGGCCCGCGACAATAGTCCAATTTTGCACGTTTTCCTAATGTTTCAGATTTTTTGAAGTTACAGAAGTATAGTCTTTGTTCAGATCATTATAGACTGTTCTGTTTTAGACAGATTCTGTTTTTATTGCATAGTTTGCTTGTTTTAATGATGCTATGGATTATATCGAGGGGTATAAGTCATGGAGAAGTTAGAATACATTAGGTATTATGCAATAATAAAATATAAATGGCTTCATAATAGTACCTAAATTTTATGATTTGTTTATTATACTAACGGATCACACGAGGTTTCTGTTGAGTTTTGTGTGTTGAAGTTTTCAAGTTTTGGATGAGATCACGATGGACGAAGGAATAAGGAGCGACAAGACCTTAAGCTTGAGGAAGCACAAGGCACCGCAAGATAATATTCAAGGAGACCCAAGCATCTAAGTTTGGGGATGCCCCGGATGCCATCTGCTCTTTCGTCTACAATCCATCGGCATACTACTTCGAGGTATATTTTTATTCATCACATGATATGAGTTTTTCTTGGAGCGTCTTGTATTATAGTAGTCTTTGCTTTGTTTGCCTTTTAGTTTTCCACAATCATTGTTTGCTACACACACCTTTTGAGAGGGGCACACATTTA